CCGTCTCAATATCCAAAAGGAGGGTATATCTCATCTTCTCTTGTTTCTGTTTCTAGAAGGATTAGGGTAGGTAGGGGTTGGAGGAGGGGACGTCGTCATCGTGCCTTGGGTGGTAAATCGGGCAAAGTGGACAAGACCATTGTATATGTTGTTCCTAATGTTCTCGAAGCGCGGTACGACACAGGGACAATCGGGCCGCTGCCTCTCTTCGCCTTCAGACCCTGGGCTTCGGAGTCAACGGTTCTTCCGTTTCCTCGTCATCTGTTCCTCCCATGGAATTTTCTAACCTTCTTTGCTCTCCCATCTATCGTCATCCAGATTTCATGCCCAAATTTTTTTTTTTTCACGGTTAATTTCGTGACCCCTCCTTCACTCGGAGGGTGTGTGGCTTGCTCTCCAGATCGTTGCCCAGGTGGCGGGCTTCTCCGCCGCCTCAAGAAGTCGGCGAGAATGCGGGACTGGAACGATACTCTTAAAGTGGGATGAGGTCACACTGTCGTCTCATGGTAGCATTCATCGAGATGCGGTGAGCTCCGTGAGCCCTCAATGGCCTTTTGTGGAATTGGCATCAAAGGAAAAGAGAGTAGTGGGCGAAATGTAACCACAAAAGAAGAAAAAGAGGGCCCGAACACAGTAATTTTGACCATTCGATCAATCCTTGATGTCCCTTGGAGGAACACTAGTCCCCTCAAAAGAATCTCGTCTCTCTGACGGGCGTATTTCTCACCAATAGCCAATAAGCATATGATGTTAGTCGCGGACGGAACTATGGGGTGCTTTGGTTAGGTCCAACTTCCAACGGCGGGTAAGAAAAGGGTTTGAGCCACCAATGCTGCATTTATCGATCGATCATTCGAATTGCTCGGGAGGGGCGGCAGCACCTTTGAAGGCCCAGTACACATCTCCACAACCCAAGTGAGCCTCAACTACAGTTGAGGGCGGGGAAACAAGAGGATGATATCCGGAACAACCACATGACTTGGGAGATTGTATACAACGCACTCTGGTCCTGCCTTGTTAGTTGACAGTGGAAACTTTGACGTCTCGCCGTTCGGACGCGCACCGACATCGTGGATGGATGCGGAAAAGAAACAACTCTCGAAGAATTCACGACCCCCATCGTGATGTACCGAGAATCAGCGATGAAAGATAATCATTCGAGATGGAAACCATCAATGCCAAACGTTCGCCAGGCTGACCTCTGCCGCTGTGTCTTTTTGCTCTCCACAAAGCCCATCCATGCCCGAGTCCGAATCTTTGCCGTGCATGGGTTGGCAAAAGCCCCTGCTCACCATGCAGATGACAGCGTTCGGGGTCCCCGACAGGCTCGACAGCCCCCTCCGCCACCAAATGGAGCTGGCATTGGGCGGCGGGCTCCACCTGTTAATAACGAAGCAAAAATTGGGGTTCAACGCAGCGGAGATGTTCATGGCGCGCGGGTGATAGCGCATGCCGATGTGAGTGAGAGAGGCACTTAAATCTACTATGTTCAGTTCGGCGAATAGGTTCTGATAATATCGACAGAATGCTTGCTTCAGCCTATGCACTTTATAATGGGGGCCAGCTTCGAGAACACTGATCAATACATGTAACGACGAAGGGGACTAGATTCATGAGAAGAGCTTAAAGAATTTCACAAAGTCACCACCTCTTCAGGGACGGTGGCCCCGGGTTCGGAGCAGGCATGCGGCGGGCCCTGACCGTCCTGTCCTAGCTGGCCCTGGCTTTTCCACCCGTCCCCGCCAAGAGCTGTCCGATAGGGAAGCTCGGGGAATGGGTGGTGGACGGACCATGCCCTTCCACCACGATTCCCCAATGGCGCCACTCTCGCTCGCATCGACCCTGGGCTAGGCCTGTGTCTGTGTTGGCGTTCTTCCACTCCGCTACTTCAAGTCTGTGCTGTGGGCCTAGCGGGGGAGAGGCCCTGCCCTCCAGCTGAGCAAGGATTATCAACCTTACCAACTGCAGCTCCAGGTAAGTCAGTAGCGTGCATACATCAAAGACTGCATACACACACCAACGCGCTTTGGTGAGGAGAGGCGGAGAAGGGAGAAAAAAACCAACAGGAAAACACTCGTCTAATATTAAGCATTCATACCACACGCATACACTCGCAAACGTATAACCCACGATCTGGTACCACCGATTGGGACGCTCCCCCTTGCACATGCTTGGCACTGATCGATCTATTGGGTGGGCAACGAAGAAGCTCCGGAGCCGTTGTCCGTCGTGGGTGTAGCGAAAACCACTCCGCGAGCCATCTCGTCCGCCCGTTGAAGCACTAGCGTAGGGAAAGGGTGGGCGAAGATGGGGAAAATCTGGATCAAGCGGCCTTCTTTTTCTTCTTTCCCTCTTCAAGTTTTGTTGAATTGCCTCTAAAGTGTCGGAGAGCGAAAGCATCAATGGATGTGTGGACATGAACAGCGCATGGATACATACTCTATCTTTCGCTTACCTTACTCATTAGACGCCCGCTATGTGGGCGGTCAATATTGACAGCTGAACTTGCCGTGTCGAGAAAAGATTGTCGTGCACATCACACCATTGATTCATTAATATTCTAAACACTGCGAAAGGGCTCCTCTCACCATGGGAGCTTTCGGACTTCATGGACCCTTTCTGTTCAGCCGCATATCCTCAATTTGGAGTCTAGTGCCTTCAAGAACAAAGCTCTACTCTACACCCGACGGCCTGGACTAGGACGGAAAGAAGTATACAAGCAGTTACCCGGTGAGGGGAACCCAGGCTAAAAGAAAGATTTCTGATGGCTTTGGCCTAATAATCCTCTTCTCCGCCTTAAGAGGTAGGGCCATGGGTTAAATGAGCATGGGGCATACCGTGGGTATGGGTCAACGCGCCCCAGAGACCTGGAACAAGCTAGCAAGCACCGGGCGACTGCACTGCAATCGACGGTGCCCAAGCTCGTCTGGAAGAACGTGTCAGGCAAGGGGAGGGGGAAAGGGCAGCCAGGTTGCATCAAGTTACAATTGGTGAATCATTCGATTTGACCAAAGTCCGCGCACTTCTGAGGCACCGCGTAAGAGACCGGGTTGGGAGAACGAGCAGAGCATCGCGGTGCTGCAATGGGATTGTACAGGATCAATCGGTGTGCGTGCGTTGCGTGCGTTGCGAGTGAAAATGCTTCTCCATGATGAGCTACGACAATACAAACTCTGGAGCTGTCGCACATCGAGAGTCCCCTAACCCTAACAGGTGTACACCGCTAATCCTCCACCGCAACCTCGCTCGAGAACCCTTTAATTCGGCGGAAAAAGCTCATCGTGCTCGAGAAGAGCGCCATCGCAGCCTGAGGCGGGCTCTTGGTGTGGCTGAGCCGCTGCAGCTCGGGAGGGCATGTCACCGCCGTGATCAGATTGGGAAACCGATGCGAACTTGGGGCAGAGAGGGGGAAACGGCTTCGCTCCTCTTCTGTGGCCCCACACGCGGGGAGGAGGATGAGAACGAGAACCGTGCTAGCCCTGGCTTGTATCACAATAGGGATAGTTGAGCCTTGTTCTTGCTCCTCTTTAATACTTGCCCGTTGGAGAAGAAATGGATGGATTGTTCGGCACCGAGGAGTTCTTATCGACCACCAATCAGGGCGCATGTCCTCCTCATAGGGCTTGCGTCGACCAGATCGCCGATGGTGACATACATTGGTGGCCAGCGCGGATCGTGAGCCTTTCACCTCCCCACGTTGAATGGCGCACGCCATCTGAGGTATTTCTTCTTTTCTTCTTCTCCTTGCCTTATCCGATTTCTCTTTCTGTGCTATCTTCCTCCATCTCTCTTTTTCCGCCTTTTCGTTGTGAGAGAGTGGGGGTAAGGTGACGGGCGTCCTGCTGCAGAATGAGTTGCGTATTCAAGTCTGCTCACCGAGTTCTCTTCTCGCTGTGGAAGGCGCTGGAGATCCGTGGGGAGTACATGATGAGCATTCCAATCAAACTCAAGAATCCGGAAAAGGCTGAGTAGGTGGCACTCGAGATCGCTAGAATTTCTGGGGTCCATTCTGGAGGATGGATGCAGTAGATAGGTGTCTTGGTCTCCGTGGGGCCGGTGGCCGGAGGTTCGAGGTTCAAGACTCCGGTTCGGTCGATGGCTACCGCTGCGTTCCCATGTCCCTCTCTTCAAGTCCTCTGATAGGACAAGGTCCGTATTGACGTGGAAATGCGGAACTGAGGGGGTTCTCCCTTTCCCTATCCCAGGACAATGGCCGACAAGTAGTGCTCCGAAGGTGGGATGTAGACACTCTCTTCCTTCTCGACTTACACGCACGCGTGCGCACTCACACCCTAACCTTGGCGCGCTCGATATATCTTTGTCAGCGTATGAGTGATATTATAAGAATTATTTATCCTCTGAGTTATAGATGTGCTACAAGTGCGGAGCGCTAGAGGTCATCCCCTCTTGATATTAGGGAGACAGCCTACTAATTACCCCCTTGACAAAGGACGTAGGCCATACAGCCTCCAATGTCAGCGTCGCGTGGATGAGAGCTTCGACGTTTTCCATATTCACCGTCCCCATCACTCGAAGCATGATGGGATGCTCGCCAGCTCGCAGGACAGGGTGTTGGTCCTGTCTTGGGTACTCAGGGCTGGCTGCAGACTCGAGCTCTGAAAGGTTCTAGAGCCGGCAGAGTCCACTACCAAGAGAGGCATTCAGTCGCTCGTGAAGTCTTGCATGGGTGAAGGTAGAAAGAACCCTGTTACTATGGATGTCGCCTTGCCAGAAACGCTGGCCAATCTTTGGTTTCACTCCGGGATGGTTAGCCGTCAGGAGTAGTCTTGAAGCACATCAGCAGTGTAAAAGAAGAGTGGCTTACTTCACGTCGTAATTCTGATACTGAAATCAGAGATGTATAAGCATAAAAGTATATGTTCAAAAGTGAAGGCTGCGTCTCCTTATAGCACAATCAAATTTGCTCCTTTTCCCCACCTCTACCCCCGGGCCCCTAGTTCCCGTTGCATCATCCTATGGAACTAACATGCACAGTTTGTCTACTCGAAGCCGTCCCAAAAGTCCAGCTCGATCCCCAGAGCATCGCACTGGTCCCTCTCCGGCAATGCCTCGTGGCCGCCATCCCACTGCAGGTTCATCAAGTTGGGCTCGCCCGCCGCCGCCGCCTTCCACCCGCCGACCGCGCGCACCTGCTCCAGCGTGCTCCAGTAGCCACGAGCCTCCAGGTACGCCTCGTTGGGGTTCGGGTCGCCCGTGTGCGCGAGCGACGTCCAGTAGTCCATGACGAGCTGGCTAAAGGGCACGTCGAGGCCGTCGCGGTCGGGCAGGCCACCGCGGCGCACGGTGCCAAACACAATCATCTGCTCGCCGGCGTGGCACTTTTTGTACTCGAGGCTGGGGTCGCCGTCGGGGAACTCGTCGGTGGCGGCAGGCCCGCAGTGGGGCTGGGTGTATCCAGAGGGGTTGTAGGTCCGGTTGAACTGGAAGGCGTAGAGGTTCTTGAAGGCGCCTCCCTTGGCCGCGGCGTGGTTGGTGGCTTGCTCCATGCACGTGTATAGGCCGTCGGTGCCGATGCGGATGGTATAGTCTAGGATATCGGCCGCGGTCGGCTCCTCGGCGAGCGGGAAGGGACCCGAGGGAAGCACGCCCGTGAGGTTGCGGCCCCAGCGGCCCTCGAACTCGCTGACGACACGCGAGAGGATGGCGTCTTCCGCGTCGATGGGGGCAAAGTCGACGCCGAGCTCGTCGCGGTTAGTGCCGGTCATGAAGGTGACGTTGGCAGTTAGACCACTGCCGTCGAGCGCGAGGTAGACGGCGTCGATGTATTCTCCGTCGACGACGACGCCCGACGCGACGTTGTTGAGGTAGACCAACTCCGTAGCGTTGTACTCACGAAGGCAAGCAATGGCATCCTCGGCCTCGTTGCAGCCGGTCTCCTCGAGGACACCCTTGGTGATGTGCTCGTATACGTGCCCGACGCTATCGTAGGTGGCGACGTAGCCGTGCTCGTTGTTGACGAGTCCAGCGGGGCCAGACTGGCTGATGGCATTGGTGAAGAGACCCTGGGCTCTGGGGGACGCGAGGAGCGCGCGGACGAGAACGGCGCCCGCGGACTCGCCGTAAATTGTGATGCGGCTGGCATCACCTCCGAACGAGGCAATGTTCTCCTTGACCCACTCAAGGGCGGTCACGACATCACCGAGGCCGTAGTTGCCGTTGTGTTCGCCGTCATCAAAAGTCAGGAAGCCGAGATTGCTCACTCGGTAGTTGATGGACACGGCGACGACGTCTCCGCGCGAGGCGATACCGGTACCATCGGTATTGGGATTCTTGCCGGATCCGCTCGTAAGCCCACCACCGTAAATGTAGAACATGACGGGCTTCAGGTCCCAGCGGGGCGCGCCATCCCACAAAGCTGGGAGCGTAGGCGTCCAGACGTTGAGGAACAGGCAATCCTCATCCATGCCTTCCCGAACCTCTCCGATACGTTGGAGACATTCGGCGCCAGCCTTGAAGGCGGGAATTGGGAGAGACTCCTCTGGCGTGAAGACGGTAGAGTGCTCGAATCTCTCGGGCTGGGCGGCGTACCGGATCCCGCGGAATTTGAAGGTGAAGAAGTCGCGGAAGCCGACGTAGGTGTTGTCGCCCACGGTCTGGCTGACGTGGAAGTCGGTAGGGTCATCGTTGGTTCCCGAGGTGGAGACGGGGGCGCTCTGGGTGCAGAGTCCTGGGATCTCAACGTCGCAGTTGACATCCCGGAGCTCACCCTCAGTGGTGATGATGCGGCAGACCTTGCTATCCTCGGCTTCCTTGGCGACCCAGAACTCCTGACCCTTGTCGAAGTTGCCAAGGTAGACTTGGTAAGACAGGGAGCTGTTCAGACCTGCTTCGAACTCGATCTGGGTGGGATCGAGCGGCACCTCGCCGAGCAGCTGGCAGGCCTTTTCGAAGGTCAGGTAGTTGTTCCAATCATGGGCGAGGACGGCAGCCGAGTCTTTTCTGGGATCGTCTAAGCGGAGATAGCAGTCAGAATAGCTATCCTAGTTGTGAAGTTTTTCTCGCCACTCCTCTAGTAGACACGAGCATGGCACTTACTCGTGAGCTCATTCTGGGCGAGTATAGTCAAGCCACCACCGTACACTTCGGGCGCCTCCCGAGGGACGTCCTCTTGGCCAAAAGCGAGACTGGCGGTGCCCAGGGCGGCTGCAACGAACTGGGACCTCATGGTTGGCGTCTCTCAACTTCTCCCCTTAAGAAATATTTCCTCGACTACTAGAGATTGTTATATCGCGCTTATAACCGCGGAGAAATGAAGCTCAAGCCGTCGAGGGAGGTTAAAGATTGGAGGATGGCCGAACCTAAAGCTCCCTTTCCTTGGAGATGGCAAGACACGAGCTAGTTATGATCTAAATAAACCAGGCTCGTGTATGGCCCTCCGTTCCTTTAAACACGCGCAAGGCCGAGGGATCACATTGGTTCCTTCATTTTTCTCTCTCCTCTAGTTGATTAATTGCTCTCAGCTTTCATCCATTCATCATCACGTCTCCACAATTTCCCACCCAAAGCAAAACCTAGCCAGGCACCGCGACAGTCCGATAGCTTTGGGCAAAGGGATAGTAACAAGTAAGGGGATCCATGGTTACGATGGGCCAAATACGGACGGGATCTCCTGGAGCCAGATTAAGATGGGCGATTTAACCGGCCGGGAACGAGATCCTAGTGGCTGGAACGGCGTACGCGCAAGGCTGGTCGGGGTCGGACGGAATGGTAGGCTAGCATTCTGGAAGAGAAAACATTTCGGCTATGATCAGAGGCGAGCCAGCAAGTTGCAATGTGGGGTCATGGGCGAGGGTGAGGAGACGGCGGATGCGGGCAGCTTGATGATGATGATGATATCCGTGTTGTTCGAGGGCTGGCTGACAAAGATGTGCTGATTCAGACACCTTGACTTGAAATAAGCGAAAGGCAAGAGGGACTGCATCAATAGATCCATGTGTTCAAGACTGGGCTTCTTCGACCGCTGCGACCACTGCGAGTTGGACTCGCGTGAGAGCATGAGGTCCCACCACACCCTTTTTCAAGCCAGGTCCCCGGCTCGAGATTGACCACGGCGACCGAGAGCGGCCTGCAACCACACAGAGAATATGCTTGGTGCAGGGGCAGACCTGAGTAGATGGAAAGGCCATAAAGTCTGGTATTGGCCTTATGCACCGGTATGCAAGGGTGAATGGACTTTGTTTCACTTCATATTCGCTGAAAAAGGGAAAAAGAAAACCACGACACCCTCAAGCTTGGTGTTCTTTTGGCTAGCTCACTCATGGCCGAGACTTACACGCTCTCAATTCAATTTGGTGCTTGGTAATGCGGGGAAAGAGCTTTCGTTTGCTGCCGTGGTCCACTCGTGGTCCGCTCAACTCACTGGGGGCTCCTTCTCCTTGAGCTGACCCTAGTCGTTGTGCTCCATGCTCGCCCAACGTCGCCGCTGCCCTCCGCTCACTCCGCTCCACTGCATCGCGCCTACCCCGCTACGAACCGAATTTAGTACGGGCACCATGTCTGGGGTCATGCATTTTCTCGGCTCGCTCCTTCTCGCCCTGCTGCCGGACGCGAGAGGTCGAACTGAAAGGGCCAAGCAACCAAGGAAGGAATGAGCAAGGGAGAAATTGAGCCCAACTTGACAGAGGAGTCTTTGTCGTATCGAGTATCTCGACATCAATTGATCCATCTCTTGACGATTGACTAAGGAGGCGGCGAATTCATAGGCCAGGGGCGGGTTTTCGGTGATGATCCTTTTCTCCAACACCATCCGGCCCAGCCTTCAAGGCTCAAAGTAGGTATTGATGATCACGAGAAGTCGGATATTGGTGAGAAGACACCCGTGCGCGCGGGCACACCAAGTGAGGAAGTGTGCTAGACTGGCCTCATCAAGCAACATTGAACTCGCCGTGGGCTTGAATCTTCTTTCCAGAACCCGTTACTAGCGTGGTGCCCCTGCCACAAAGGCGGCGCACAGGGCCTCCGCATCGACGACCAGCCGCCCCAAAAGCTCTTCAATAGGTCCTCTGATAAGAGACTTGACCAACCCTGCAGGGTCGGCCAGTGCTGGTTTCTTCCAACCTGCATGCAGAAAGGATGCACGAGGCAAGGGCTCAGATCGCCTCCCTGCCGAGGCTTCCTGACCCCCTGGCTGTCCACTCACAGGAGAGCGGCTCCCCTCCATTTTCGTTCTCCAAGAGTCGACACAAGGTGAGAGTCTTCGTCGTGTGTGTGGGAGGAGGTTAAAATCGGGTCAAATGGGGATCCATGGGTCAATTCGATGTTTAGCATTGATGCCACCATTATCACCTCAATATTGCAGCTCGAGTGTGCCTCACCTTTGTTTAGTCCGGCTACGACATTCTCCGCTCTCTGTCCGCGATCGCTGCACCGGCGATCTGCCTGCCAAAGATTTTCTGTCTCTCTCCTCTCTTCTCCCCTTGATACGCTCGTCACCCGCATGAAGTCACCGAGAGCTCAATGTCACTGCGCTGTTTATTGTAATAGCTCTTGGGCCAGAAGCCAAGCGCTCTAGCAAGCCATCAAATGGCTTCCAGCCACGGAATATTCGACAGCGCCCCCATGCTCGGTCTCCTCTTCTGACTGGTGCTTCCCATATCTGGCTCTTCCCCATTTTTTCCGGCGAGAATAGGAATTTGACCGGGGCCTAATTAGCGTTGGCGGCCAACCATCCAACCCCAACCATGATTGATCGCATCAAATGGCGTCGTTTCTTCTCCTGATTGTCCAGTCAAAGGCCGGAATCTACCACTACTCAACTGCATTGCACCGACGCATGATCCTGGGCAGCAACTCCTTCGGAGCAGGTGCAAGAAGAAAAAAGGAATAAGGAAAAGGTAGAGGTGCGAAGATAGGGGAACTCCGAGAGAAGAAAGAGAGGAAAAAAAGAGAGGAGAATACAGCCCCAAGGGCGTCAGCCAAAGAGAATGAAGAATGAGAAGAAAAAGAGACCGGGGAGCAAGATCCCCGATATTGAGAGTCCCCGAACCTTGGTCGAAGAATTGCTCTGTCCCCCGAAAGAAAAAACCCTGTACCATCCGCCTGAATTCGGCGTCAACACCATTCCCAAGTTCGGGCTTGATCGCTTTGCAAAGTTAATTGATCCCTCCCTTGTTTCTCAACTGCCTGGTTTGGTCAACTCACCCACCCCTCCCTCAACCGCCGACGGATTTTTTGTTGGCTCGTTTGGCATTTTGGGTGTCCGTGAGCTCTGCACAAAGGTCGTAGCCTCCTTGATTCACGCAGAATAGCCACACACATCAGCCTGTTCTTCCCACCCCCTCCCCTCCCCCAGGACTGATCACAACTCCCATTCAACAGTCCAAGGCGTCCATTCGCCTGTTAGTGTACTTGGCCCCGAGATGCACGGCGACCTGCGTGGAGCGGCCCCAGGATCATGCATCGTCCCGAAGTGCTGAGCAATCGTCGTTTCCTTTCCGTATCTTGCTACTTTTGTTCTTTTTGCTAGTTGGGGTTGAACGAACCCTGTCTCCCTTGAAGCTGGGTTGGACGTGTCATACTTGCGCGGGCTTCATATGTAGACCGTACCCCCTCTTCACCACATCTTGCTCCTGTCTCCAGACCTTCTCGGCGAGGCGATGTTTGCTTCTTTGAACCACATCACCAATCCCTCGACACACCAGCTTCGGAATCCAGACACTTGCTTTTGCCCGCCTTGGTGAGTTTGGAATCCTCGTGGTATAGGCAGCACAGAGGACGGCGCACGAGGGCAAATTTGCAGATCCCTATCCTAATCCCCATATATACCTGGCATCAGCCCCGAGGGCGCCTTGCTTGTTCCTGGGTCCATAATCAACAAATTTACGTGTTCAACTCGACTGCCGTTGGACGGGGCTTTCGTATTTCCTCCTACTCCACCGCCCATTGAAGCAAGCGCCTTGGCCTGTCTATCACATCACTTATAAAATCAACCGCGGGCCCGTCCTGCCTTTGTCAAAAGGCGACGTTCGTCAGGGAGACTCCGGCTGCTTTGGGCGGCATTACATCAATTCACATCACCTTTATCAGAGCGCAGAGGTAGCGTCGGGACTCTAACTTGAGGCGGTGGTTTTAAATTTTTTTCATCTTTTATTTTCGGGAGGTGGACAAACCTGGCAAGCAAATCACAATGATTCGCCTATTAAATACTTCGACGTACCGGTTCCAGGAGTTTCACACCATTGTCCCACCTTACGCCATTTTATCACACACCTGGGGCAGCGATGAAGTCCTCTATCAAGATATTCTCAAAGGCTTCTGCAGCGTATCCAGCCACCCGGGCTTCTCCAAGGTCCAAGGCTGCTGCGCGCAAGCTCGGTCGGTCGGATTTCAGTGGGTGTGGATCGACACGTGCTGCATCGACAAGACTTCTGGGGCCGAGATGGCGGACGCTATCAACTCCATGTACAGGTGGTATAGCGATGCCGGAGTCTGCTATGTACACTTAGCCGACGTGCCCCGGTTTCGCTTTTCCGACAGCGTATGGTTCGAGAGAGGCTGGACCCTCCAGGAATTGCTGGCGCCTAGGGATGTCGAGTTCTACACCTCGGACTGGGTCGAGATCGGGACCAAGGCAAGCCTCGAGTCCACCATTTCGAAAGCGACGGGAATTAGCGTAGACATCCTTCGCGGGAAGCCGCCCCAGTCGTGCACGGTTGCGGAGAGACTGAGCTGGGCGGCGAGGCGGCAAACGACGCGGGTGGAGGACGAGGCCTACTGCCTGATGGGCATCTTCGACGTCAACATGACCATCCTGTACGGCGAGGGCCAGCGCGCCTTTGAGCGGCTGCAGCAGGAGATTTTGAGGCAGACGGAGGACTTTAGCATCCTGGCCTGGTCGCCATGGGTAGGACGCCACCCCGTCGGATCCCCGTCATCACCACGACCGGCGTCCTCGCGCAGAGTCCTGCCGCTTTCAAGAGGACGGATTTGACGTCCTACCTGCCGGCCACGACGTTTGGCTTCGATGACGCCGAATCGATGCTCCTGGCCGACATGGGCTCGTTGGAGTGGGCAGACCTCGAGCCGCACAAGTGGAACTCACGGTCGAATCTTTTGCCGTTGCACCAGTTCCTCTTCGACCCACCAGCGATTACGAGCCGGGGCATCTCGATGACGCTCCCCATCGACCTGGACGAGCTGGACGACGGAGGGGATGACGCGATGCAAGGCCGAAGCGGGACGAGGGACGTCCTAGCTTGGGTGTACACGGACGTATCGGCCTCCCGGCTCGCGACCAACACGTCCCGCTCCTCGTCGAGGACCAGCTCCCGCGCCAGCCGGCAAAGCATCACAGATCACGGCATGATGATTTGCATCTGGCTCACCATCTCCTTTAATAACCTCGAGGACCGAGACGCGCCGCTCCGGGCAGTGCGCACGCCGGGCAAGGGTCCCGTGTGCGTGCCCATGATTTTCCTGCACCGCTTCCAGCCGCGGCACATGTACCTGCAGTACGCGCCGGAGCGGCAAGCTCCGCGGTCGACGCGGCGCAGGGCAACGTCCCTCGTGTACGAGCCCAACGCGCGGGCGCTGCAGGTGGCGCTGAGCGAGCGGCCCGAGTCGGCGACGCGCGTCAAGATCGTGTCGCATTATCCGCAAAAGGCGGTTTTCCAGAGACCGGTGGCGGAGGCGCGAGATCCGGCGACGGACGCTATTATTCCGGGCCGGAACGGGGCGGTGTGGAGTGCGCCCAAGGATAGCTTCGCGGTGGTGACGTCGAGTGGGTGCGCGATCGAGGCGGCGGGGGCGCTGCGCATCAAGCTGAGGGCTCCGTCGCCGTCGCCGCAGCCACAGTCACAGTCACAGTCACAGTCACAGTCGCAGTCGCCCAACGGTGTCGGGGAGGAAAGAAAGGAGGCGGCAGAACCGGCGCCCGCCCAGTTCGTCGCCCTGTTTGCACACCCACACCCGCGAGATCCGTTCAAGTGCCACCTCGAAAGGGTGACGGAGGAGGACTTGGCCGGGGACGAGCATCAGTTTTGGCCGCGGTTCCTCTCCCAGAGGAAACGGACGACCAACGAAGTCCTACCCTTGGCCAGCGATCGCAGCTCTTTAGTTTTTCCGTGTGGCGTCTCGGTCAAGGCGGCGATCCGCAAGCAGCGAATTGGCCCGCTTGAGCCGTTTGTCCCCACAATGACGCTGAGCTTAACGACATTGGCGGAAGGACAAGAGTCGCTGGAGACAATGGAGCAGCTGCTGTCGATCAATGACTGACGAAAAGAAGAGATGAAAAATTTAAAGCAATGGGCCAAACAGGGGAATCCCCGTCTCCGGGCCCCGCTCCTCCGCCCTCTCCGCTATTTATTTTACCTGCTACATTCCTATGTGTTAGTGTGGTGCGATGGGTGGGCGGGTGGCCCTTTCTGGGTTCATGGCAATGGGGCGACGGGCGGCGTAGGCTCGATTGGGAGAATGGGATTTAATGTTGGAATGTGTATCACGATTTTACTTGGCTTCATTGGATATCAACCAGGTTTTTTTATTATCATCCTTGTTTGAGCGTTCTTCTCTTCTGTTCTTTTTCCTTTCTTTCCTCACGGCGCAACGGCTTCCGTTAACAAGGAGCGGAAGTTTTGGGTCCGCCTTCATATGTGCTGATGCCGGGGGTAGTGTCGTTCATTTACCCAAGGCGGTTGCGCCTAATGCGAACGGGGTGTGCAGTGAGGGGGCCCCGCACCCACATATCCACAAACTGCCGCGTGTCCGTCCGCCCTTTGGCTCCCCGGTGAGTGAGGAAAAGGTGGTGACGGAGTCGGAAGACTGTACACTACGTATCTGTGTGTGCGCGTGTGTGTGTGGATATTTTGGGGTATCCATCCATGGATTTGGTTATTGGCACGGGGAAGGAAAGAGGGCCGGATCACAAGCGACAACCGGGAAACGGAGCTGTATTAAAAGGAAGGTTGAATATCGCGAGCGGGTTTATTTTTCTTCTTCGTTTTGTCTCTCGTCCCTCTCTCAGCTACTGAGACTTGCGAACCTATCTATCGAGAGTCGTTCAATCTTTATATACCCCCGTTTGTCCCCTTCCTAAGCCCAACGGTCCCTTGGTTTCTCACTGCCCTGCCTTTTTTTCTTCTTCACGAATCCACGGACTTGTTTGAACTTCCATTCAATTTTGGTTTTCTTTGCGCTTACACGATGCTTGCCTCTTCCGTACTCCTCGCCACTTTGGCGGCCGGCCTCGTGTCTGCCGGACCAACACCCCGCCAAGCCTCCGGATTCCCCTCGGCGAGCGGGACGCAATTCACAATCGACGGCGAGACCAAATACTTTGCGGGCAGCAACTCGTACTGGATCTCGTTCCTCACCAACGACGCTGACGTGGATCTCGTCATGAACAACTTTGCCAGCTCGGGGCTCAAAATCTTCCGCATCTGGGGCTTCAACGACGTCAACGCCGAGTCGGGCGGGGTATGGTACCAGCTGCTGTCGGCGTCGGGCTCGCGCATCAACACGGGCGCCAACGGCCTGCAGAGGCTCGACGCCGTCGTGGCGGCGGCGGAGAAGCACGGGGTCAAGCTCATCATCAACTTTGTCAACTACTGGGACGACTACGGCGGCATGAACGCGTACGTCAAGGCGTTTGGCGGGGATAAAGCCGGGTGGTACACCAACGAGAAGGCGCAGGCGCAGTACCGGGCGTACATCGAGGCCGTGGTGGGCCGGTACAAGGACTCAAGTGCCGTGTTCGCGTGGGAGCTGGCCAACGAGCCGCGGTGCCAGGGCTGCGAGACGGGCGTCATCTACGACTGGGCCAAGGCGACGTCGGCGTTTGTCAAGTCGCTGGACCCGAACCACATGGTTACGCTGGGCGATGAGGGATTCGGGATTGCGGGGGTCGAGCTACCCGTTTGGGTTTTCGGAGGGGACGGATTTTGCGAAGAACTTGGAGATTGAGACGCTGGATTTCGGTACTTTTCACATGTACCCCGAGTCTTGTAAGTTGGACAGCTCGCTTGCGCCCCCGTTCCGCTGCCAATGTTCTATTTCTCCGAAAAGAAAAGAAAAATTCAGCTCAGAGGGAAAGAAGAGAGAACATGATGTATGCGAGTGCTAACCGTGGGTGAATGACGCTAGGGAGCGTGGACTCGACCAACTTCCCGATCGACTGGATCAAGGCCCACGGAGCCGCCTGCGTTGCTGCGGGCAAGCCGTGCCTTTTCGAAGAGTGTAAGTTTTTTTCCCGTTTTCTCCCTCCCTTTTCTACTTTTGTTCTCTTTCTCTTCCTTGGAATGCGGGGATAGTCCTGACAACCGGCGCAGATGGCATGACGACGGACCATTGCGGCATCGAGGCGCCCTGGCAGGCGGCGGCTCGCGCGACCGAGGGCGTCGCGGCAGACCAGTTCTGGCAGTGGGGTGACCAGTTGAGCACCGGGCAGACGCACAATGACGGACACACGATTTACTTTGGCAGCGCTGACTTCAAGTGCCTTGTGACGGACCACGTTGCCGCGATCGAGAGCGGAAACTAAAGGGTCATGGGATGAGGAGGAGTGTATATGTAAACTAAATACCCCCATGGGCTATCTTTCTTTTCTTTTCTTTTTGTAGATGATTTAATCTTGATTTATTTCGTGCGGAAAAGCTTATTGATCAACCCATTGTCTCAGTTTGCAGCCAAAGGTGAGGGATGAGTGCCTGCCATTAGTACATAGTGAGTGTTGTTCCAAAGACAGGACTAGCTGCAAGCTTGTGGTCGTCGATATGTTAACTGGGCTCTTTTTCCCTTCACGAGAACTTCACGGTTTCCCGAGTCCCGGCGCTGTATTCAGTATATTGCAAAGATATATGTCTCCGGGAGAAAAGACATCCCAAGATCACAAAATGGTAAATAAACAGAGCAGATGCGAGAGAGTGATGCGCGTTTATTATGTGAACATTGCAGTCCTCCCACGATCGATTGGCAGCGTCGCTCCCGCCAAGCCCCTGACGACGATCGATCCACCCACACCTCCCCTTCCACCCCAGCGCCATGGATGGACCATTGATTTTCCCGTCTCTCCCCTCTTTTTTCGCCCCGCGGACGCGGAAGGGAAACCTCCGTCAAGGCCCCAACTACCGAGAGAGCGGACCCACTGCAGCCGCCCGAGGACAGTGACAGGAAGCCACCAAACGGACGGGCTCGTCTGATTGAGGGGAAAAGAATAGCCACCCGTGGGAGCGAGTGAGGCTCCATCTAGCTCCCCGACTGTCATTCGTGGTAAATAGAGAGGGACAAGCAGGGAGAGTGAGGGAGTGTGAGAGAGGGACGGCGATTCCAGCGTTGTCCGTCCATCTGACGTAGTCCCTTGATTTTCTGCTACCTCTTTCTCTCTTGTTTTCCTTTTGTTTTCCGGCCTCGTTCTTCCCCTTGTCTGCTGTTCGTCCCATCACTCGGGGAATCTACTTGTTTCAATTTTTTTCTTCTCGTGTGGGGAAGCTTGTATGAGGTGGGATTAATCAACGTGGCTAGGGGAAACCGAGACTGCTTGCAGAGGTCGTCCGCCTGATGTAGGAAGCGATGGGTGGCTTTATATATCCACCATTTGATCCATGGGCGGCGGGAGAAATATATATGTAGAACCAGTGCCGATCCCCCGCGACCGCCGTTTGATGGATTCTTGACCTTCTTGGCTCCCTGCTTATTCATTCTTCCGATCATTATTCTTTTTATTCTCTCGAGGTATAAGCAAGAGGGTTTCATCGTTCACCATGTTGGGGTACAAGTCAATCGTTGCGGCGCTTGCGCTGCTCGGGGGCGTCATGGCGCAGAATCCCGTCAAGATCATGGCCCTCGGCGACTCTATTACCGGTAGCCCTGTAAGTTGACTTTGCTCACGCCCCCTCCGTTTTCCAGTCTCGGCCTCGTGCCCTTGTGCTTCTGTTCGCCCCCGGGTTAATTCTCTCGGGCCAGAAAGAGAAAAAGAGAGAATCCAGGCTAACCTTTTGCAATTTCTTTTCTATTCTCCAGGGCTGCTGGCGCGCCCTCCTCTGGCAGAAGCTCCAAGCGGCGTCCATCACCCAAACCGACTTTGTCGGCACACTGGCCGGACAAGGGTGCGGGTTCGCCTACGACGGGGAGAACGAGGGTCACGGAGGTTTCCTAGCCACCAACATTGCGTCTCAGGGCCTCCTTCGGGGCTGGTTGAGCTCCACGAACCCGGACGTGGTCATGATGCACCTGGGCACCAACGACGTGTGGAGCAACATCTCGCCGGCGGTGATCCTGGCCTCGTTTGAGACGTTGCTGGGGGATATGAGGGCGAATAACCCGTCGATGAAGATTTTGGTGCGTACCTTTCCTCCTTCACCTGCGGCATTTCTCTGCTTTTTCTTTTCTTGGTTTCGTATGCCGTGAAGAGTATTGGTGTAGTTGGAAACCCCAGCGTTGGGCACGAGTTCTAGTGAAACGGACGACCGACTGACTGAACTAGGTTGCTCAAATCATTCCCATGGCGCCTTCCGGCTGCGCCGAGTGCGGCGCCCGCGTCGTGGCCTTCAACGCCGCCATTGAGGCGTGGGCCCCTACCGTCTCGTCGGCCGCGAGCCCCGTCACCGTCGTCGACTGCTTCACCGGCTTCAACACCGCCACCATGACGGGCGACGGCGTGCACCCCAACGAGCTCGGGAACCAGGCCCTGGCGACGAGTTGGTTCGAGCCGCTGGCCGATGTGATCCAGGGTGTTTTGAACAAGTGTAAGAAGAAGCGGGCGGAGGAGGCGGCCCTCGAATAGAACGGGGGAGGGAAGAGTAAGAAAAGAAGGGAGGGATAGCTCTGGGATGTGGGGTTTTAAGTCTTGCAGAGAGCGCACTCCCGTTTCTTTTGCATTCTGTTTTCTTTTTCTCCGGTGGTCTGTTTCCCATCCCGCCCTGTGTTGGCCCTTTTTCAACCATCCTCTATCCATCCCCCACCAAGACCAGAACATTTAAACAAGGCCTTTAAGGGACTGGTTGCCGTTCGGATATTGACCTCTCCTCGTTGCTCTCTGCGTGATGTCCCGCTAGACGGCACACAGGCTAGATTTCGATTGCATGCATCCTCTTATCTCGCCCTCTCCTCTCGCCTCGCTTTGTCGTATCGTCGGAAGCCAAGGTACTCTCTCCATTATCGCATCGTGCAAAATAATAAGCTTGGATCCCACTTGGAGCTAAGGCCGTGTTTTGACTCATCTAGCTGGCGCTGTCTCGAATCATTGTTCCAAGGTTCCTTTTGGCGCTTTTGGCAGCGGGAGCTCCAGGGCGAATTGTCGGATTGCTGCATACTCTGCAATGATGCATGCTCCTTATCAGGGCTTTTTGGCTGGTTGGGAGGGGTCGTCATTGGCACCTTCCCCCTCCGGCCCCTCCAGCCCCCACCCCTGCCAGGTACCGATTGGTCATCTGAGCCAATCACATGAGTGGCCAAAGCTCCCAGTTGAAAGCTCCCCCGGGAAAAAGGTACCTTGCCGCTTCTGCTGTGTGGGAAAAAGCAAGGTACCGCCGTATCCTCGTGAACCGTTGCTTCGCCATTGAATCACTGCCTTGGCTCATCGCTCATCGCCTCTTCCGCTGTACCTCTTCCATCAGCACCCACAACTCACCTTGAAACTCCCCGTGCATCGCCGATTTCCTCCCTCTTTGACACTTTTTCATTTTGCTGCTCTCCCCTCTCTCTCCTCCTCTGTCCTCGTTTTCTCGTCCAACCATCAATAATTCTATTTTTATTTTCCTTTCTCGACACTCCTCGAATATCTCTCGCGACCGCGGCTTCGACCTCCGTCATCGATTTGCCTTTGACAAACACCACACACCCCCAAATCACCTCCGCTCCATGCCCTCGCCCGCCATGCAGACTCCTTCTTCCGCCTCCGCTTCCACCATCTCCCTTCATCTCCGCCAGTACGACGACCGTCCCGAATCCCCCGCCGAACCTCTTTCCGCTGCCACCAAGGCGTGCATCATCTCCGGCATCGAAAACCGCAAATCGGCCGACCGCATCGTCTGCGTACCCTGCTATGAGCAACTGAGCGAGCCGCAGAGGGCGAACCTGAGGACCACGTCCTGGGCGGGAGGATGTCCCCTGTGTTTGGTAAAGGAGGATAAGCCCGAGGCCTACACGAAACCCTTTTGCGACTTCTTGACTGAGAACCCGACCGTCTTCCACGCCGTCGAGTACTTCAAGGAGAAGCTTACCGCTGCTGGTTTCGAAGAGGTACGACTTCTGTCTCCCGATGATAATTTTTGAGTAGAGGGTGGTTTTGTTACGTGCTCTTGGTCAATTGCCCAGCCTTTTGCACCAATCGTAATTTTGCCTTGGACCTCCTGCTTTTCTACTCCCCGTCTTCTCTGTGCCTTTTCCCCAGAGCTTGGAACTAATGAATTTGGAGTAGCTTCCCCGAGAGATCAATGGCTCGGTCAGATCAAGCCTGGTGGCAAGTATTGGGTCACGAGGAATGGCAGCTCCATCATCGCCTTTAGTGTCGGCCGGTCCTACGTTCCTGGCTCCGGTGTTGCCATGATTGCCGGCCACATTGATGCCTTGACGGCGAGGTTGAGGCCCATCAGCAAGAAACCCAACAAGGCCGGCTACGTTCAGCTTGGTGTTGCTCCTTATGCGGGAGCTCTTAACCAGACCTGGTGGGACCGTGACCTTGGCATCGGTGGCCGTGTTATTGTCAAGGATCCCGAGACTGGCAAGACTTCCATCAAGCTCGTTAAGCTCGACTGGCCGAGTACGTTTTCAAAATCCCCCTCCTCCCCCTTGCCGTTACTGCTAATCTCTAACTGTTCACCCTAGTTGCTCGTATCCCCACCGTCGCTCCCCACTTTGGTGCCGGCATGATGGGCCAGAACAACAAGGAGACCCAGGCCGTTCCCATCATTGGCCTCGAGGACCGAAACGCCAACGCCGAAACGGCCGAGGTGCTGGGCGGATCCGGGTCCTTTACCAGCACACAGCCCCTCGGCTCGTCAAGCTCATCGCCAAGGAACTAGGCATCGAGGATTATTCCCTGATTCTCAACTGGGAGCTTGAGCTCTTCGATTCTCAGCCCGCCCAGACCGGCGGTCTGGACCGCGAATTCATCTTTGGCGGCCGCATCGACGACAAGCTCTGCAGTTGGCCCGCCCTCATCGCCCTCCTCTCCGCCGCGGATGACGAGGACCACGCCGGCATCAAGCTCGTCGCCCTCTTTGACGACGAGGAAATCGGCTCCCTCCTCCGCCAGGGTGCCCGCGGCAACTTCCTCCCCATTGTCATTGAGCGTACCGTCGAGGCTCTCTGCGCCTCTTCTCGCACCCCTTTGGCCCCGGCATAATCGGCCAGACGTACGCCCGCTCCTTCCTCGCCTCCGCCGACGTCACCCACGCCGGCAACCCCAACTTCCTCGGCCTCTACCTCGACGAGCACGTGCCCCGCCTCAACGTAGGTGTCGCCATCTGCGCCGATAGCAACGGCCACATGACCACCGACGCCGTGTCCACCGCCATTCTCCAACGCATCGCCCAGCTCGAGGGCTGCGAGACTCAAATCTTCCAGATCAGGAACGACACCCGTAGCGGCGGTACCGTGGGCCCCATGCTGTCCAGCGCCATGGGTGTCAAGGCTGCCGATCTCGGCCTGCCCCAGCTCAGCATGCACTCTATCCGCGCCACCACTGGCGCCCTTGACCCTGGTCTGGGCGTCAGGTTCTTTAGGGCCTTTTAGACCGCTGGGAGTCGGTTGAGGCGGAGTGGCACTGAGAGTAGAGGGGCTCCGAGGTATGAATGTATTTTGACATATCTTGAACCATGTTTTTTTGGGGGCTTGCTTTTGGGACTAGCAAATGTCTGTTTTTGGATGGTTCATTTTGCAATAGATCCCATGGCGGAGGGAGGACAAGTTGTTACGTGTGGTGGTTTGGTACACGACTGCTACTTCTCGATGGCTCACTGGCTCCCAGCATAATCGCGCGGTAGGTTGGAGTGACGAGTATATACGTGTGAAAGGCATGGATGTTTGGAATCTACGCTGGAGGCATCTTGTTTAGCTGCGCGATGATGCTCTCTCAACTATTTGTGAGAGTTTACATGTTGTTTTCCTTTTAGGTTATTTCTTCCCCTTGTACACATCGTGTAGATGTTCTATAGTCCGGGGCGAGGAAACACGAAGCAGATTATTGGAGAATTATGCCGGATGAAATGGATGCATATAAATGACACATTTTCTATCGAAAAACTCCAGGTACCCATGACAGGATATAAACTGTTGAAGAAGAAAAAGACAGGGGCGAAGAAGATGCTAAGAAACGGGGCCGTACGTGACGTGAATCCCCGAGTAACAAGAAAAAGACAGTCGCCGAAAGCAACGAGCGCCGTGGCACAATGCATCGAAAGAAAAAGAAAAAAACACCGATGCGAAGGGAGAAGGCATCTAAGCCCCACGCTTTCCCCTATCGTCTCCCCATCGTTCCCCAACTATGCGAAAAAGCAGAACAGAGGCCGTGATCTATCCCATCTCCCATCATCCTGGATTTCCGTCCTCTTCCCTTGTATGCTGCGGAACCCCTCCAATCTCCTCACTGATGCTATTACCATGCCATTGCCGTGCCCCCGTCATGCCGCGACCTCTCCGTTCCGTGGTCCTCCTAACCCCGCATTACCATTACCGACAAATATGTAAGAACGTATGGATGTGTGTGTATAATATATGGTTGCTGCGCCGCCAAATCGATGCGACGACTGATTCCCTCTGCTTTCTCCGGGGGAGGTCGTTCCCCTCGCGCAAGCATTGGTGTTTTGTGGGGCGAAAAAAGAAGAAGAAAACGATTGTTCTCTACCTGCCCCCGCTGCTGCTTCCGCCGTTTTCCAAACCCGAGGACCCCCTTGACACCATGCCCTCGCCATCCTCGTCCTCTTCGTCCGTCTGCTCGTCCTCGTCGTCTTCCTCCTCCTCGTCGACCACGGGTACGTCCACGTCGGTCTTGCGCCTCTTTCAAAGTCTTGCGTGTGCGCGGCGGCCAAGATGCGCGAAAAGGAGCGGGCCGTGTCGGACCTATGCACGGGGCCGATGCTGCCGGTGGCGGCCTCTTCGTCGCGGCGGGCGGCCGCGGCCGCGTGGCTGTCGTCGTCGTCGCCGCAGGGGCGCCGCCCTGGGAGCCCTGGACGAGCGGGGTGGCGGCGGCGGCGGCGGCGGGGCTGCCGCCGTGCACCGTGTCCTCGTCGCTTGCGGTCTCGAAGCGGTAAGGGAGGGGCACGTCGCGCGAGGCCTTGTACTGGGCGACGTTGGCGCAGTGCTCGTTCTCCACGCGGATGAGGGCCCACATGCCGCGGCGGAGGACCTCGAAGAGGGAGACGGAGAAGGAGACGACGGTGGAGTGCTGCGTGTTGTGGGTGAAGATGGCGATGGCGATCCACGAGAACCGCAGGATGGGGTCGAGTACCATGATGACGTAGTAGATCCAGCGGGACTTGAGGGCCGTGATGTCGCGGAGGAGCCAGCTGTGGGCGCGCGGTTGGAGGAGGGAGAAATCCATAAACAGGTCCCAGATGGCTGTTGAGATGTTTTTGGGTTAGCTATTTCGGTCGCTTTGACTTGCACTTTGGCGTACATCTTAGTGAGGATTAAAAGGTGTATAAAAACACTTACAGCAGTAGATGGAGTTGATGATGGAAAACGTGATAAAGGCCGCCAACGTAGACTTGGAGGGCGAGATGCGGTAGAGCGAGAGCGTGACCGCTGCGGCGATGGACATGGTGTACTTCCCACCATTAACGAGGTGCGGGAAGATGTTCTTGGTATCGTGGTAACGGCGGAGGCACTGCAGGAAACGCCAGATCGGAGGCAGCGCGGCGAAGAAGCCGAGGAGACGCGAGTTATTCGAGTTGCACTGCACGGGATTCTCCCAGTGGTTGGCGTACAGGCAGAAGAAGAGCTCAATGTTCTGTCACGGTGGAGGTTAGCGGTTGCAATCTCGTCACGCGTCGAAGGCCGAAGGGTGGGTTGGGGCGGGGGAATGAGAGAAATATACGGGACAAAACATACACAAGTGGCGTAGGTGAGCGAGCAGTACATGTCGCCGAGGAAAAGTCTCGAAACTCGACGGGGTAAAAGCCGGCGAGCAACAGCCTCCACTAGATAGCAAGCCCTTGGTTAGCGTCTTGCTGTTCTTGATACTTGGACTTTCTGATGATATACAACTTACATGAGAATACACAAACCAGTTCCGGCTCCTGACCATGAATACGCGCAAGGGCATAAAGATGATGAGCGCAGAGATGCCAATCAGCACCACGGGGTAGTACAGGTACATGTCCTCGGAGCCGTACTGGCTAAAGTTGAGCCACATAAACATGCCAAAGAGAAAGGTGAAGAAGCTCGGAAACTCGGACAGCTGCTTCCAGTCGAGCTGGTGGCGGGGATCGAATTCGAAAATGAAGTGGTAGTTGATCTTGTTCTTGTGCCAGAAGCGGCAGTCGATGCAAAACATGATGAAGAGGAGGAGCATGAGAAAGTAGCCGCCGTAGATTTGCATGAGGTAGCTCGTCTGCTGCCGCAGGGTAAAGTCGGTATCCGCGCCCGTGAGCAGGCGCGCGCCAAACGTGAGGCCCTGGATGGAGAAGACGATTCCCGTGCCGAGGAGGAGGCCGTTGCGGAAGGCGCTGGCCGACTTGTCGCCCTTGACTTGGCGAGGCTGCGGAGCTTGCCGGCGGCGACTTTGCGGTTGCCCTTTTCAAAGTAGCGCGCGTACAGGTCCTCGACGACCTGGATGTAGCCCTCGAGCACGTCGCTGGTGACAAAGTACGAAGGGTTCACCTTGTCGTTGAGGTACCGGTAGGGCGGGCGGGCGTGGACGGCCTTGTCGTACTTTTTGTTGAGCTTGCGGAACGCCGTGCGGTTGAGCAGGGCGTACGACTTGAGCAGCTCGAGGCTGCGGTAAAACTCTTGCAGCGCCAGCTTGAGCTTGCGCTTGGCCGACCGGTACGGCACCGCGCGGTCGTCGGGGCGGCGGATGTAGTCGCGCCGGGCGTCGGCGCTGTTGTTGCTGTTGCTGCGGGGCGGCTGCTGCTGCGGGCCCACGACCGGGGTCTGGGCCATCTTTGCAGCGCCTTGGAGTTGGGGCCGGGTCCCAAGATCTTGTCCGTGAAGGGCTTGACCCAGTTGGCGTGGCCAAAGCCCGAGAGGAGATCCTTGGCCTCGTCCTGCGCCTCGTCCTCGCTGCCGCCCAGCTTGTTGTGCTTGCGGGACTGCGCCTTGGCGGGCTTGTTCTTGGCGCGCGCCTGGGACATTTCTTGGATGCGGCGGTTGCGCATCTCGTGGAGCTGCTCGCGGAGCAGGGCGAGCCGCTTGCCGGCCTGGTCCTCCTTGAAGCGGTAAAACTTTTCCACTTTTTCCAGCTCGGTGTCGAGGAATTCGTGGAACTCGTGCTGCTTCTCGCGCACGAGGTCGAGGTTCTGCATGGAGATGTCGGCGGGCGAGCGGCCGGCGCGCTGTCTGACCGACGAGGTGGAGAAGAGCCGCTGGAGGGGGCGGCGAAGGCGTCGTGCCGACAATGGTGGCGGGCGTGGTGGCCGTGGGGGCGCGGGAGGCCGGGGTCGCGGGATGGTCGGGGGTTGCACGGCGCTGGTGGAGCGGCTGCGCAGCAGGACGCGGACCAGGTGCTGGCCGTGGCCAGAGGTCCTCTCCGTCCCCACTTGCGGCCCCCTTCCTCGACGACCGAGTCAGAGTGTTTGAGAGATTCTTTGAGGGCGGGAGCGGGCAGCTCAAAGGGGTAGCTTTCCTCGACGACGGACGGCGACATGTAACCGGGGGTGGGCACGAAGCTTCCGTAATGCATTTCGCGGCTGGTCGAGTCGGTTAAGAAGTCGCTCTCGGTCGGGCGGCGGGTAGGCGCAGGCCGCGAGATGGGCCGCGCGCGCGGCGTGGATCCGGGCGATACCTCATCGTCGTCGTCGTCATCGTTCTCGCCCGAGCCTTCGGAGGCAGCAGGCTCCGCCGGGCGGGAGAGGGGTGCGTTCGGCGCGGTAATGGGCCAAGGTGGCGGGGCTGGGCCCTTGTCGGTAGTTGAAGGCGCGAGGGGTGGTGGTTGCGCGGTTTATGGCCTTGGTGACGGCCTTGATGTGCTTCTTGCCAAGTTTGTAGTTGAGATACTTGACTCGCCACTCTACGTAAGCACGTGGACAGTTAGCGCAGGCAAGGCAGCAGACCCAGAAAAATCACCAAAAGGTTGGCAACGAGTTCTAGGTCTAGGTCAAGGAGATTGGGAGGGGAAAAGGAAAAGAAAAAAAAAGCGGTAGAAAGGAAAACAAATGGTGAGCCATACCTGGGACGAGCTCGCGATCGAGCTCTTTGGCAAACTTCATGGCTGAGGCGGGGCCGAGCAGAAGGCGTCTGCCTTGGTGAGCCCTGGAGGGTGCCTCCTAAAAGAATAACCCACACACAACCTCTAGCGGCTCGGCGGAAACGTCATATGGGAGCAGACGAAAAAGAGAGACAAGGGGAAAAAAGGGAAAAGAGGGTCACAAGAGACAGAGGAGGAGATGTCATGAACAAAACAGCAAGATGGAGAGAAAGAGAGAGAAGACGAAGACGAGAGGGAAAAGATATAATTGACAGGGGACGCGTCTCAGCCAAGTATATAAGTCTGTCTGACAGGGATGTGAGCAAGGGAAGGAATGGGCAAACAAATCAAGAGGATAGGGAGGGTATGAGAAGAAGAAGAAAAAAAGTGACGGGGAGGACGTTATTATTCTCCGATGAATAAGTAGCGTCCAGGCGAAGGCAAGGGAAGGGGGAACAAGAGAAAATAAAGTAACGGAGCCGAAAAACAGCGCCAACCCGCAGATAGCGGCGGTAGTGAGGGCTTCTGAAGCTTGCTAGGGACCGATGAATAGGAACGTGGGATTGCAGCACGGGATTGGAGGGCGTTCTCGACCAGGCTTCGATGTCGTCTTCGTACAGGGTACTTGTCCGTTGGTTACTTTTCCCATGGCAGCATGTCAAGCTAACTTCCCTGCACGGAGGCTTGGAGACTTGGCTTGGAGATGGCGTTGATTCGATCAAGGTGGAGCTGACTGCTCTGTTTCTTTCTTTTTCCCCGTTTTCTTTTTTCTTTCCCTTTTTTTTTTCTTTCCTCATCTTTTTTCTTTTTCTCTTTTTCCCTCTCTTTATCTTTCCCGCGGCCACCAGTGCATTGTCGTAGTGGAGCGCAGCGCAGTGCATGCAACTTTCGCCTGGAGCCGATTGATGGGACCAAGTACCCCAACGCCAACAATGGGAGAGGAGAGGAGGGAGGAGTGGGGAAACCATTCGGTGACGTGACGCGAGTGAAGGCGGAAGCAGGGCGGCTTCGCTTTCCAATAATACAATTCACAGCCAGAAACCACTAAACCCCAGTCCAGCCCTGCCCTGTCCGTCCTCGTTGGACAATCGTGGGTGATTTTATGGGTCGTCCGGTACTCGTCCCCGGGCTAGAGGGGAGGATCGACAGAGTACGATGAGCGACAGTCATGGTCGAGATAGGACGTCGCCAAGTCCAAGAAGCCAAGCTTTTAGGGGTTTTGTTGTGCAACTCAACATACATCTATGGGATCCATCCCATCCAGATCCAAGTGGGGGAAAGGGGACTCGAGAAAAAGAAACATCGACAACGCGATCGATGCCACTTGATGTCACCCGCGGCGTAATACAAGACATTTCTGCCGGAGGAGCCAAACGACAAAGCAATAGATTAATGATTTTTTTCTTCTTCTTCTTCTTTCCCATGGAATAGTGACACCGGTGCTGGGGCAGTTTGGCACACCCTAATCGGGCTCAGTGAGACGTCTTTGTTCAAAATTCGAGTCACGGATCAGCTGTTTAGGCATCGCTAGGGATATTCGCCGTGTCAGGCCCTGTCGATTCGGGAAGCGACAGCGCGGAAATCAGCATCAATGGGGATTGTCCCTTCCCTTGGCCTCTTCAAATTACTGTGGGGAGGTGGCACGAAACCCTTTTTTCATCATCACTTTTTCGGTTTTTTTTTTTCCTTTTTCCTTTTCCCATGGCCCGCTTGTCCCCCCGCATCCTCGTGTGCGTCCACTCGAGAGCTCCTTCCCGTTTGCTCCTGGACACCTCGCCTGGTATTACCGCCTAAACCATTAATTGATGCCCCCTGCCAACCGACAGGCTCGCAGCGCTCCCCCTTATGACTTTGGCATGCGCGCCTTTACTTTTTCTTTCCTTGTTCTTTGGGCCCCTCGGCGCTCCCAGGCCCATTCCATGATCCGAACAAAAGGGAAAGTGATCACGAGAGCTAGTCCGATGAGGTGCTGCGCTGTGGCATGGGGGCAATTGGGGGTGTCCCCTCCGCTGACTTGAGTGGTGTGTGGGACAAGCCCGTGGTTGGGGCGATGCTCGATTCTTCTCCAATTTATCCATCCCCCTCGGATGCACCTGCCGCGATAACCCGGAAGCCGCACTTTGCGCTGACTGGTCCCCGGACTGGACTGGACGGGGATCGACACTCAGCTCGAAGGACGGTTCTCCGTCGCATACAGCGTACAGCTATTCTTACCAAGAAAGGCCTGGATGGGATGCCACCCAAGCACCTCACGAACGTGATGGCTGATGTTTTGAGGGCTCGGGTGCCATGCAACGACGCCACAAGGAAAAAGCACCCACCGCTGGAATCCCGGCACCCTTGTTTGCTGTGCGCTGCTGCTGGAGCTGCATCTTTGACGAAGCTTTGTCTATCATGTCAAAAACGGAAACCAGGGAAGTCGGGGGAGGGCAAAAGGCGGAAAAAAGAGGGAAAATCTCAACCTCGAATAGCAAGCAGAGCACAGTTACGATATCATTCGCCCTTCCTTGGTTTGCTCGCCTCAGTGTCTCAGCACATGAGGACTGGGGACACAAGCGAGTAGGGCTTATCACTGCATGTACACCTATGAGATAAGGGGAAAAGAGGAAAGTGCTAGTGAAAGGAGATTCCTCGAACTTGAGAGAAAATTCGAGAGCAAAAAAGAAACACAAACGAAAAGAGAGGAAACCCCCAGGTAGGGTTTCTTGTGGAGCGTAGGACAGGTCAGCGACGAAAAGCCCGGTCGATAGACAAGGGCCGGGCCTTCCTGCTTCCAAGCACATGATATTGGAGTAGAGCTCAAACGCCACGCCACAGCCAGTGGTGAAAAAGTGGCCAAAAGGAATCAGCAGGCGCAACCCGTGAATCAGGATATTGGGTCTGACCGACTACCATCTTCGTTTATAATGTGGGAAAGCACCACCAGGTGGAATTGGCGGCCAGTGTTATCCTATCAAGAACACCCAAAGACCGGAATAGGCCTCATATTGTGGAAAGCCTGAACTCTATCATAGACCCACACAAGAGCCTCTTTTCCTTTTTCTTCTTCTTTTCTTCCTTTGCCTTTTTCCTTCTTCTTTCCAAGACCCAACCTTTCGCTTCGCCGCCACTAGTGTAGTCAGGCTGTATGTGTTGCTGTTCTGCGCTTCCCTGATGTCACCGCTTCCACAAGTTCCAGCCCCCTGCAAAGGAAGACGAGGTTGTGCTCGCTATCCTTGCCGGTTGCCGGGCTCAGGCCTCCACTCACCCTTGGCCAGCCAGGCCCTAGTGCAAGGACGGACATTCTCCGATGCCAGAGCAAGAGATTTCTTTTCCTCGCCAAGGGTCTTTTACTTCCTTTGACTCATCGCATCGCATCCTCGCGCTCACATCTCGCGAAACAAGCACGAAGACGGGGCCTCAGAAAACACGGGTGGGTCCCCGAGCCTCCCGGAACGAGAAGGTCCAGCAACCAAAGAAAATCGGCAAAGCCAAGCCAGGGTTTCTACATATCAATATTATTATTTATCCACATGGATCAGGTCTGGGTTTTCATCAAGCCGCGAGGTGCGGGTGGCTGAACGGGCATCATCTCCCGGGGGTCCATGTCTGTTTCAGTGACTGAATCCTAGCATTGCTGCACGGAATTCCAAGCGAAATTTCGCAACCAAGCCCGAGGTTGAGCGGAAGGGGCTCTGAGATTTGAGCCTTTCATTGTATCCTCCCTTCAGCTCCTTCCGCACTCTGTTGTACCGAAAAGAGGAAAAAGTCTTTAGCCCGCTCCTTTTTTTTTTTTTTTTTTCTTTCTTTCTTTTCACTTTCGTCTTTTCCTTTCTCTATCTCCCCTTTTCTTTGTCCTCGATGATTGCCCCTCGAGGCCAAGTCGTCGCTACCGCAGTCTGCCTTGCAGAGTTGGTGGGTAAACGGAAGCTTCAGTGTTGCTCAAGTGCTGGGCCTCTCTTCATATGCAGCGGCGTTGCATTGCCCAAGACTCAACGATTGATGAGACAGGCAACGCTTATTACTGCCAATGTCAAGAGGAAAAATACTATTTTCCTAGGCCGAGATAAACTTAGTGGGACGGAAAAGAAAAAAACCCCCGAGAATAAAGAGGAGAGAAGAAAAGAAGTGACCCGAAAAGGGCGGGTTTCGCGGCAGCCATCAAAGAGCTTTGGCCAGGTTCATCTAAAAAGATTGCTTTGACAAGGGTAAGCGACCATTGGAAGTGTGCAAATCTTTGCTGTTTCTTTTTACTTTGGCAGCTATCACATTGTCTGATGATGCAGGCAACTGTCCACGCGAGCAAGTGCTTCTTTCGGCCCCATGCCAGCATGCCCCTCGCCTCGAGACGGGGCAAGATTGAACGAACTCCTTCCAAGTGATCGACAGTCCTCGAAGCCACTGTTTCGGCATCCAAGTAATACAGAAGGAATCCCTGAGCCGCTTTGCGAGTGGAGATCGAGACGGGTATGCCCCGGCCCCAGCCTTGGCGTTACCAATCATACAACCATAATTTGCATGTCAATATTGTCTTCATCTCGAGTGGTTCTCCCGACAGCACCGCCGTGCCGTTACGAGGTTGCAGCAACGGCGGTTCCTCCTTCCCGCCAGCCACGGAAGGGTCTTTTTGACCAAGCAAGAATCGCCAAGCGCGAGAAATGGCTGTTACTCTTTTTTTTTTTTTTTTTTTGATCCTTCGTTTCCCCTTTCCTTTGGTGCCCTGCACTATACATGTATTCAAAATCAATTAAGAGATACCACCTCCCTAACCCTTTCTCAGTACCCTCAGGATGCCCACGAACGTGTTCCTGGCCCGGCATCTCCGGTCCGATGGAAGACAAGAAAAGCAATCGTGACCGAGACAATCGGGTTACACGCGCCGAGGCCAAGGGGAAAACTCGTGGGACAAAGGGGTTCTCAGAAAGTATGGGCCGATGATGACAAGGAAAGGAAAAGCAAGCCGCATGGTTTTGCTTATTCCTCCCGCCAAGCCCAACTGAAAAGCACAAAGGGCGGTTTTCTTCCCTGAGGCATCATCATCGT